AAATAAACATGAAAGTCCACGAAATAAAAATGGCGGTCCACGAAATAAAAATGGAGGTCCACAAAATGAAAATAAGGATCCACAAAATGAAAATAAGGGTCCACAGTAGTAGAGTACTTAATAATGTTCGCGTCTTTATTAAAATGCCTAAAGTTTTTATTTAAAATAAAACAAATATCTAGAAATATCAGCCTTCACTTTATGAATTGGCCAGTATCAATATATCTGAGAACATTAAGTATCTGTTTCAAAATTTTATCATTTCGTATCAAATCTAGACTTTATCCATTATATTTTAATCAAGATCATTCATTTTTTATGGCTCTATAAACTATTAAAAATGATATAACATTTACGTTCGGCTGGCTTCATCACAAAATATAACGGCGCCACTGAGTTTTTAATATTCCTACAGTGAAACACATTGCTGACAAAAAGTAATAAATGCATGTGTCCCCTTCATTTTATGCGCATGGGGTCTCCTCGTAATGCAACGTGCTAACATTAACGTATTATTCTGCAAAATTGTAATTAGATGCAGATGTACGCATTATTAGATAAAAGATCAATATTTGACACATTTTAATCGAACTATATTGATAAGGCACCAGAGTCCAAGATCTAACCTGCATAAAACACAATTTAAGGAAAAAAAAATAGAGGCAATAAAGTATTGGCGGTATCGAACCTGGGACTTCTGAATATAAGCAACTTGTTCTTACCACTTAAACCGGTGGTTCAAGTTAATATTAAACTATTTTCTTTCTGGATTTTTGACTATTCCGATTCCAAATAAATATAACATTGCTGCAACAATGAAAAGTCATCAGTATGAGAATTTCTAATCATAAATTCATCAATTTAGAGCCACCATTGGGTTGCCATCTAAAAAATCACGATAATAAACCAAATATATTTTAATAAAAAAATAAAATATTTCAAAATGTTTGTAGTAAGCCAAGTAATTAAGAAATCTTGCAGATATCATTAGTAAATAGAAATGTAACTGTAATTGTGTTTTTGTTAAACAGAAAATACGTTTGCCAGAAACTTCAAAAGCTTCGAAGCAAAAAGTCTTCAACAGTATATTCAAAATCATAAACTTAACCAGGTTTTTGGTTAAATCTAACTTGGTTTTTAACCAGCAATCAGAACCCAGAAGTACTACAAACTCCTTTAAAAGAACCCAGCAAAGCCTGTAAACAACCCAACGGTTGGCCCATCTGATTTATTTTTATTATCAGAATTTCTCTAATACTGATAATTTTGTAATTTGATTCAGCTGCCGAGGAAGAGCTATAGCTTATAATGTCAATAATATAAATCAACTTTCATTTGAAAAGATATTATAGATAACCGATATCACTATCAGAGGCAGATTTGGAACCAGGAACCTGGGCATTCAAGACCAAAGATAACCTGAACCTGACTTGATTACTTAAAATAAAACCGAATTCGTTTAATAAACAATTATTGAACTCAATCAACAAAAACTTAGAAATGAAGGCTTGTAATTACTCGATGGTGTTAATTAATTTTCATTTGGATACTAATTAAAGGAAAAGAACTGTTACATTTCTACCACCTTATAATTAGGAAGACGTCTCTCTAAGTAAGATAACAATTTATTTATTATTTAACAACATTTATATTTACGATTGTATACGATTCCCCATAGCAAAATCAAAAGTACACAATTCAATTTTTATCCTTTAGTTTGTAACTGAATAGTAATATTCAATTTATTCTACTTTCACTAACCACGAAGGAGTATTGTTAGAAACCCACATGTAGAGATTATAGGAAAGTAAATGCGTGGAAGATAAAGATTCAACAAAACATATACAGAAGAACTCTGTTAAAACGATTATGCTTAATACGATTTATCGCAAATACGCCGGTACTTTCACGAAACATATTGGTCCTAACCCGAATAATACGATTTCTCGACATATAAAACATAAGACATGTTTTTAGAATGTTGCCTGGAAAATCGTCTTAAACGGGTGTATGTATATCCAAAAACTGCAAAGCAAAAATAATTATTATATATTATCTAACAATGGAGTCGTGCAAAAGATAAAGGAAATACTTGATAAAACACTAATGGTTCACCATGAGGCTATCTATTTCGAGAAAAATTTAATCACTATATTTATCTAGTTTTAAATTTTGTATAGTCTCTGACTGAGGATGGTTACAAATCATCAATGAACTGATTTGCTATAATTTAAAAATGTCTGGATAATATGTAAAATAAAATACGGAAAAAGTAATTAGAAATATGGATATTTTTTATAATAAACCAATTAGAACGAAGAGTTCTATGTATGATACTTCTCAGTAAGGTGATTTTTATGAAAGCAACCCAATAGTCCTTTGTATTTGATATATTTTATATTAGGAGAAAATCCAGTGGTTGTCCTTTTTCTAATAGTGACAAACAATAGTTCAGCTGTATCATACATCATCGAGTAAAATATCCCATTCAGTATCGCAAAAGTATGCCTATATTGTAGTGTGAGACAAAAAAAATGTAGTTATTGAGGCAATGCTGAAAATGGCTATTTTCACTTATAATTAGAAATAAATTTCGGCTTTTGTGTTTTGAATGTTGTATGAATTAGACCATATGATTTTCCATGTAAAACATGTGCGAATTTTCTTGATAGGTTCCAGTCAAATAATTTTGCAAATCATTGGGACTCAAGTTATTACAATAATAATTACAGAAAAATGTGAGTTCAAAATAAAAAATAGCTGAACTTCTTTAGAAAGCATAAAAAATAAGATAACTGAAAATAGAGTAACTAAAAGTATATAGTAAGTATATAGTATTTCTTAATAAAAATAGACTATAACGAACATTACCATGATATTGGTAATAATGAAAAAAAAATCCTAGATAAAAAACCTACATATGAATATTATATGGTAAAATTGGAAAAAAAACAGGTGATGAAGGTGTAATTTAGACCTAGTCAGAGGTATAAAAACAGGCTGAATGAATATCCTAATAGTCTAGCAATGAAGTTGTTAGATCAAATTCTTAACAAAAGATTAAAAAAAACTTAATGACCTGTTTTAAGTCTACTAATGAGTAAAAACCTAATTTATCTTTTTTGTACTATCATCACTGTAAAAACTGCATCACTATGGACATAGCCCATAAATTATTTTTTGTATTTGAAGAATAATAATAAAACAAAACAAATTAAAAATACATGAAAGTACTTCTAAATCTAGAAGAAGTAATACAGGGAACTTAAAGCCGAAGCAGAAGTTTGTAAAAAAATGCATAAAAGTGAATAAAAAAGTGATTTATGGTAAAATGAATAATAAACAAGGGAGGGAAAAGGAAATAAATGATTTGTGGTGCTCTCCTGCCATGGACTTGCCTTAGGACTATTATTAGACTACTATTTACTATTATTATTCTAAATCGTTACTACACAAAAGTGCGATAAGATAGTAACACACAAGTGTGCAAATTTACAGCAGCTGAACAAAATGTTGGGTTTTGTTCGGAAATATCAGTGTTTATGACACATTGCATACAACATGTGTATACATTTTTCATAGTTCATCGACCGTTCTTCGTCTGTAAAAGGATGAAAAAAATTTAAACAAAGTCGTAAAATCGATAAGGAATGAGAGCGATATCGATGTTTCGAATGTACTATGAATGGAAGGCAATCGTTATATTTTCAGATAAACGTACAGTATGCGTTCGAATTATGGGCGATTAACGGAGTGTAAATAATATAAATGATATACATATATATATATATATATATATATATATATATATATATATATATAATGGGTAGTACTCCCCTGGTTAGAGTCAAACTCCAACTCGATTCAGAGAAGAATAGTGTGAAAGATTTCCCTTTGCTATTACACACCGCAGTGTCCAAAATAGGATATTTTCAAATGCAAACATATTTTTGATCTTTCAAATAAAAATGGACATAACTGCTGCCCGATGTCAGGTTGTCCATCGCAAGATCCGTTATATATCTTTTTCAGTCTGGTATAAGAGATCACAGTAAATATTTTTACGAATATTAGTTGATTCTCTATTGAATATTGAATATTAGTTGGGTAATATTATTGACCTTAAATGTCCCGAAAAAAATTAGAAAAAATCTCACATTCTGTATGAAATATATGAGCTATTGAGTGCAACCTAGAGTTTTGATGAAATTATGACCATTTTTCGGTTATTTTGGTTAATTTTTATTAATTTTGTTCATTAAAACTTTCGTACCGTAAATAATTAACTAATAACTAATATAACTAACTAATATAATAAAATATATTATGAAAATGTATAAAAATGTGCAAAGAAATAGTATGCTGATTATTCCATATTATACTTTATAGTAAAGTAATTTATAAAAGTTAAAATATTATATATATATTAATATAGAATAACAGTAATATTTTATGCCAATTTAAATAGTATGAAAATTTCAATTCTAAATTTTTTGTCGGTGCTTTCGTGCAAGTAGTATTATTTTCTAGAAATATATTATACTATCAGCAAATTATTTCCACAAATCAAATAATTCTTTAATAATCACAGTAGAACAATGAGCATTCTTGTACTATCATTGTACCTCGCACATTTTTTCAGATAATTCAATATTGCTAATATTGGCGATTATATCAAATGTATGATTAAGTTTATCAGTATTTAATTAATGCATGTTGTGATAAATTTAATATCGAAGTAATAGACGCTTATGCTGCATATAAATTTGCATTACACTTGCGAAAACTGCCAAGAGCAACTGAATATTGATTTGTTTTGAAAGGCACTTGTTTAGCATAACCTAACATAATTTTCCACGATTAAAAGATCGGCTTAAAATTATTTAATGACCATGGAACCAACGCTTTCATCGCACAGCAAAATCAAACATAGTACCATTTATATTTATCGGAAAAAATAATAATAACACCCTGATCCTTTCATAAAAACATCCTCCTACCTTCTGATAATTCCAAATCCAATTCGGCTAATTTATCCCGCACATCCTCTGGCAATTTAAACACATCAATATTTATTTCAGCCATTGTTAAGATAACACTCACTGATCACTTTAAACAGACTTTTCACGACATTACACTTACAATTTGCACAACTGTTTAGCCATCTTGGATTTTGTTGAAGTTTACATCGCTAGGTTGACTGTCGACTGATCGCTCCAAACACGAAATGCGACAAACGTCAAACGAGGAGACGATGGATAGCGCCATCTGAAAGAAATTCAAGGAACTGATAAGTTTGATTGTGAACTTGGTTACAAATGAATAAAATGAATTAAGAATGAAATGAAATGAAAGAATTAGAATGATTTTGAATTAATTTATGTGATTTATTGTTTAATTAAGTATATGTGCAATCACGTTTGAAAATGTAATTATGTCTGATACCAAATACCTAGTTCAAATTTATATCAACATACATAGTATTAAAGTTTATATCGAATACCTGTATCTAGATAAACTATCAATAGAATAATTAAAATTAATGTTATTGCTTTTCGTAAAGTAAAATTACAAAATTTACTATTTGAAAATTTGATTTAAATTCGATATTTTCTGTTTAGTAGGTTGGCAGTGGTGCTCGGTCTTAAATCTTCATGTTCACACTAGTTTTGACAAGAAAAAAACACTCTAGCGGCCAATATTAGAACTTCCTTTCAAATCAAAACTTACAGTTGAAGTTAATGGGCGTCGTTAAATCTTGACAACAAAATAAGATAAACATAACGAACTTTTGTGTGAACAATATTTATTTTTGTAGTTATCGTTTGTGTTTACATGTTAGTTTAGGTAACTGGATAGTTTGTGAACTATAATACCAAGTAATAATGGATCCAGATACACAGGTAATGTCTTGTAAAATCAAGATTTATTTGGTTTATGGTCATTATATGTCATTTATTGGGTTTATGTTAATTTTATGTTATTTATCTAATTTCTATAATTTTCCCAGGGTTACTTAGACCGTGTAAGAGCTCGCAATGAAAGATTGAAAAATAAGACTCACAAATTGCCATTAACAGAAACAAATAATAGGTTATCTCCAAGAAAGTCAAATACGTCTCCCTCTAAAATAATAAAAACCGTCTCAACTGAAAATGCAGATTCTAAAGAAAATGTTGATGTTGCTGTAGAAATCAATATCTTGACTAGTTCAAATGTACAAGTTGATGTTCAAGTTGAAGAAAGACAGTTGGAAGATGGTGAGAACATGGAAACGATATTCAAGAAAATGGAAAATTCAAGCCCCAAGAAGGAGGCTGTTTCTAAAAGTGATAATGGGAGTACTGAACAATGTAAAAATGAACCAATATTGAGGACTACTTCTAAGAATAGATTGCAAAGATTAGGAGCCTTGTATTCAGGTATAACTAATATTCGATATTATACTTATTTTTTGCATGAGGCTTAGTTTGAATTGCTCTTGAATAATCATTGTAGTGTAGTTAGTGAAGCTACTCAAATATCAATAAACAGTAAGTAAATATTAACTAATAATTTAATGATTGGAATATAATTAATATTTTAGAAAATGCTGATTTATCATCTCCAATTCATCGCACAGAGACAAAGTTTGATGAAGAAATGATTAATAAGAACAGAGATGATGTAAGTTCTTCCAGAAATACAAGAAGTGTAAGAACAGATAGATTTGCCAAACTTGCAAGCACAATTAATAATTGGGAAGATGATTTGAGTCAAAGTCAATCTGTAAGTAGTTCTTTATATAAATTGCACTTACTGTTTTATATTTATGAACTGTGTGAGAAGAATGTAATTGTTAAGTTTATTACTTTCTATTTGTCTTAAAATAATTATTTTTCTTGTCTAGAAAAAGAAATATAAGGCCCCCAGTCCTCCTAAGCCCACCACAAACAATGGTCTTTCTCCCACAAGAAGTCCAAATAAGTTGTCAAAAATCAATGAAAGATTTGATGAATGTACTTCTAGCACAAGTTATTCAAAACCATCAAGCCCTACACGAAGTATAACTTCTATAAATAGCAGAAGTTGCAATTCTTCTGTAAATTCAAGTCCATCAAAAAGTGTTTGTACCAGTCCTACAAAACAGCTTCAATGGGACCAAAAAGTTTTGCAAAATTTGGTAAGACGATAGTAACTTCATTTAGCTTTAATTATGGTAGTCATTATAGAGACAATATTTTTTAACAAATTTACTAATTATTTTTCATAAAAATAAATGCATTTTTTATTTTAGGAATTTCAAGGTTATAAAAGAAGTGAAAAATCTGATAATCTGGTCTATGATTATGCCGATTCTGCCAACACCGATCAGAATAGTAAAGTTACTCCTTGCAAACCAATGAATCGTGTTGTATCATCTGATGATACTCCAAAGATAATAAATTCTGTTTCTCAAAAACCATCAGTTAAAAAAAATAGAGCACCAGATGTTCCAAAAACTGTTAGTAACACACAAGTCAAGATTGTTGATACTCTCACTAAAGCATCAAAAAAGAGCTTATTCGCAGAGAAAACTTCATCTGACTTTACAGAAAAATTAAGTCAAACAAAAATTTTGAAACCAGAAACTACAAATAAGCCTCCTTCTCAACCATCTTCACCTCAAAAAGTGGCACCAAAACCCACAAAAAGTACTGCAATAATGACAAAAACTGCTTTATTCGAGAGTAAGACCAGTCCAAGGAAAGATGTGGATCCAGCTTTATTATCACTCCAGGAACGATTAGCACTTTTTGAAAAAAATAAAGGTGTAGCTTTAACACCAAAGGCTCCGCTTGCAATGGCACCTAACATCAAAAGCCTAATTCAGAAGGACAAAGGTTTGTATATTCTATTTGAAATAGAACTTTTTAAATTAATATTATTATGCATAATACTCTGATTTTTAATAGCTCCAGAACCAAGTGCTCCTCCAATCTCTATTAGTGAAGACACATCTAGTTCCAATGGTTCAATTAACTACTGTACTGGTGGCATCAAAAGCAAAGTAGCGGCGTTATTTTCAAATAGTGAGAAAACCATTTCTCAAGCACAGATAAAAGCTCAGACTGAAGAACAAAAGAAAAAAGATTTGGATATATTGTTGAATAGGTTTAAAAAACCAATAGAGGTAAGGAAATACTCTTAATGTATAAATGTTTGAAAAGTTTGAAATATTGTAATCAAATATATATATTGACTCTATATAATATAATATTGTAATAGTATATATATACATTTGACTCTGACAGGGAAGCTCTGAAAATAAACAATTGGAAAACGAATATAAAGCACCACCACCACCACCAGCTTTTCCTGAACCTAGTGCTCCATGTTTAGGTATCTCAAAATAAATTATTATATTTTGCTATTCGGCTATAATTATATACTTATTATTTTATATTTTTGCAGATGATACTTCAAACAATAGCACCCCAAACAAAAGTCCTAAAAAAGTGAAGATAGTTTCACCAAAAGATGGTCATTTATATCCAAGTTTACCAGATCTTCCTGGTAAAGAATTCGCAGATAGTGAATCTTACTATGAATCAAATAGCCAAGATGAAAGTTCCATGGAGCCACTGGAATCCGATAGGTAAGGAAAAACTTTAATAACATTCATTTAAAAAAAAATTACAATAAAATGTAGCTTAATGATCATTTTAAGTGATATGATGGATGACAGTCAAATGGATAGCAGTGATGCCACAGGAGATGTAAGTTTGGGTCATGAGATATTACAAGCTGTGAGCAAAGGCCAATCACCAAGCAGACAAAATGTAAGTTTTAGAAATATAAACAATACTAGCTGTATCTGTGACTTTATTTGCAAGAATTTAACAAAAAAAGTTAAATTTCTGCATTTTTATTTTTATTTAAGCAAAGAGAGAATCGACTTTCTTTTAAAAAAAACGGCTATTTCAATTTTATAAACAGACACTCCAATTTTATTTATTTGCATAGATTTACGATTTTTACGAAATTTTCTCCTTACAATAAATTAATAAATAAATTTCTAGTAAGTATTTCACATAATAGTATAAATGAAATGAAAGTTATATGCGTATAAATGAGATATATTATGATCAGTAATTAGAAAAAAAATGAATATTGAATTTTGCACTCATATGCCCAGCGTTCAACATTGATGGCTCCTGATAGCAGTGCATGTAGCTATTCTAGTGAAGCTGAGGACATTAATGATGTTCTGGGCGATATGAATCGCTATCTAGATGGGGCATTGTCTGGTAATCATAATGATCAGACTGGGCCCAGTCCCGCAAAACGGGGTCGCTGTCTATCTCCGGTGAGTGCGACACCATCAAATGTACTTTTAAAATTTTGAAATCTAATATAGTGCATTTCATTTTATTATAGAACAAATCTGTAACTACTTCTACGAGCTTCTGCTATAAAAGTGGATACAAAATGGATCAACCTAAACTTTCAATCGACACAGTTGATTGTATTGAAAAGAAATCTCCTGAAAAGATGTACCAAGATCAGTATGAAAGTACTGAAACTTCAAGCGATAATGAGATTGCTAAATTACCACTCATGCATACTGTTAGCTTTTACAGAAGACAAACTCAACAGGTGTGTAAATAAGACAAAGAAACAAGTTAAAATTAAAAACATTTTATAAATGCATAGCAAACACTGGTAAAGCTGTTAATTATCTTTGCTTGCTTTTACAACAGACTTCCCAAAGCCCAAATCGGCAAATTGCTCACAGAGTGGAGCATTTTAGTCCTGAAAAAGAAGAAGATGACCTAGACGAGTCAGAAATGGTAGAAGAAAAAATACGCCAGCTCACTGAAGAGGTGTCCCGTCAACAAATTGTCATATCACAGGTATTTACATATTTGAATATAATTATATCTAAGCAGCTGACAGGATTTAACATTAATTTTACATTTCAGAGTAGTCAAGCTTTAAATTTATGTGAGGCTACCATAGAATTCTGTGGATCATCTGAGCAAGTTGATGGCGAAAAACATCTGCTTGTTGCAAGTAAGTAATAGAAATCATAATTTTAAAGAAAGTGTTCAAACTGGATGTTTTATAGCTCATAGAAGACAAGCAGCACTTAATGAAATCCAAAGACTCAAAGTTGAAGGATATATAAGACCACCAGGTGCACCTACTGAAAGAGGATCTTTATATATAAATGCAATAACATTACCTCTTCGAACTGATTATATACGAACATTAGCATCAGGTATGTGGTTTTCACCGTTTATGACTGAATTTGCATTATCAATTTTTCATGTAATCATGGTGTTTTTGTTTCAATTACAATTTTAGATACCCATCCAGGACATCATCTTGTTTGTCTCATTAGGCATCAAGAACGAGTTATCTCAACACAAATTATTTGCACCCTTCCAGGACTGCATTCAATGAGGTTCCAGGACTCCATAAGAATGGAAGACATGTACGCTGACTTTAAAGTCACTTTAGAAGTATATGGCATGGAAGCTAAGAAGCAACTGTTGCCCCATGATGTTAAATACCATATAGGATCAAAAAAGGTATTTAATAATTCATTAACAAAGTTTATTCAAAAAATGAACAAAATGAATCATGTTTTTGTAAATTTATCATTTTGAATTCTGTTTTATTATAGCCAAGTAAAGGAACACCTTTGAAATCAAAACATGACTCAAGACTTGCAAGACCAATGATACAAAGTCCAGCTGGACCAAATGCTGTTAGATCGCCACAACTAGTTTTGCTAGGATACATTATATTTTCACTAAGAGAAATTCAAAGACAGCAATGGACATTGAATAAAGTCAGTACAAATTACTTGTCATGTAATAATGATTACTGCAAGGTAAATCAATTAATTTTATTATTTTTCATCTTTAGCCTGCTCCTGGCTCTCCTCTGGATGGTAACATACAAATGCGGTTAAGTTGTGAATTATCAGTTTCTGTTCAACACCACGGTTTCTTGACAATGTATGAAGATGTATCAGGTTTCGGTGCTTGGCACAGAAGATGGTGTGTTTTGAATGGGCACACCTTAAATTATTGGAAGTATCCAGATGATGAAAATAAAAAGGTAATATTTAAAGTAGAAATATTGATAGAATGAAATATTTTTAAATCTGAAACATCTTCATTTTAGGCACCAATAGGATCACTTGATTTGAGAGGATGTTCTACCAAAGTTGTTGGATTAGTCAGCAGGGACATTTGTGCAAGATTGCACACTATTATGCTCGAATATTCTAGACCTGCTCTTGAAAACGATAAGGAAAGTTTAATATTAATTAAGCAAGGCAATGAAATGGTTGCTCGTTATCTGTTGTCAGCAGATACTAAGGAAGAACGAGTTGAATGGAGTAATCAGTTTAATAAAGCCTTAAATATTTTAAGAGCTTGGGGAGGAACACAAAATTAATTTAATTTATATTGGTCTGTTAATAATACATGACCACTCTTATTTTATTCATATACTAACAATTTTATATAATATATGCATAATGTATAATATTGAAATCTTATCATTTAAATGTTATTTTAATCAACTTTAACATGATCATTTGGAAGTAATAATATATTATTTTTGATAAAATCATTGTGTGTTTAACTAGTATAAATATCTATTTATAATAGTTTTCAGAATAAGAACACTTTTGCACGTAAATCAGATGTTGAAGTTAATTAAAGGTTAATTCTTTAGAAAAATTCTGCTTCAAAAGTGATCAAGTTGCACTAATGCAGTACAGGATTTTAATTGTTAAAGAAGAAATATGTTTATTAAAAACATTGTTGAAAAGGTTTCTGAATTTTCATAAAGAGAACTGTATGGATACATCAAATTTTATTCCAACTTGGAGATAATTTTCTCAAGTTTATTATGAATTTATTATTAAATCGGACAAAATATCATAATAGGGGTAATTATTCTCCATTGCTAATCTAATTGAATAATGTTGCACTAAAATTCAGTTGAGAATTAAACACAATTCAAGTTGAAGTTTCTTAATAATGCACATAGGAATGTGTATATATAAAAAAGGCCTTATTTACATAATTATGCAGGTGGTGCTTTTCAACATACTTCTATTTACTGGATATTTTTGATAATCAGATCATTTCATTGTCTTTCAATAGAATATGTTTAAAACTGTGTGTGTCGAGATAGGTTCATCTCTTAATTTAACCGATTTATGTTCAAATCATTCTCGAAATTCAGAATAATGTTGATTCAAAATTTTCTTCTGGTGATTAAACACATCAGTAACGTTTTCAATAAATATGTTATTCCTTCTTTAACAATTAGAATCCTGTACAGCATTTCTCTAAGGAATTAACCATAAATATAAAATATGCATTTTACCAAAAAAGAATCTATAGACTTACAATAAAGGCGATGTAGTTTACTTCATAAACCGCTTCAGTCGGTTATATTTTTATTGCATTCAATGTTTCTCCATTATTCTATAAACTGACGCTATAATTAATGCGTAAAAATACTTTAACAATTTAGTCTTGATTGAGATGCATTCGCACCGACTGCCTTAGACCAACTGTCAGCCATGCTCCTAGACAATATTAGAAACCCATGTGCTCATGTGTGTGGCCATCTTTTTGATCTGTCAAATTATCGCAGGCGAATAGCAGAATGTAGAACTTAAAACCGAAGCCGACCAATCAAATAACAGGACGACCGCATTTTCAACAACTTTAATTGTTTTATACAAATATATACATTATTTTAAAAACTCCAACGCATGATTATAATAATTTTATTTGCTCAGATATTACTCTACATAAATCATCAAATAAGCATTTGATTTAATTTTTGTATGCTTCTTGATTTCTACAAGTTATGAGCACCTGCAAAAAAAATATACTTTAAGTATTCAAAGAAAAAGCATTTTAAATAGAAAATTAAATATTATATAGTTATTTGCAACACTAGGTAGTATTGAGCTTCACTACATAATTAATTTAATTTGAAAATTTCGTTTCAAATCGCAACATTTGCCAAACCAAGTGTAAACTTTTTTTTGAATTGGCGCTCTGCCAATACATAAATGTCATATTTGACATAACCTGTAAAAACATATAATAATAAGAAATAATATAATATAATTAATTTCTCAATAATAATTTGTTTCAATAAAATACTGAAACTCATCTAAGCACAAAAAGAGTTTGTAAATGAAATATAGAGCTTGCTTAATATAAATTTATTACAAATGGCGCAACCTCCGGCCAGAAATGTGTACCTTCAAGTCCTTAAAAACTTTATAAACTCATTCAAGATTGGAAGAGCAAATATTAAAGCAAACTTTATTGGAAAAGATCACCTAGGCAATAAGTATTATGAAACTCCAGGAAATCCTAGCATTGGTAAACGCAAAGCGAATAGATATTTTGAGCCAACAATAAAAGAAAAGTTTGATCAGGAATTACCTGCAGAATGGGAAGCATGGTTGCGAAATAGACGCACGGAACCACCAACTGAAGAAGAGATCAATCATAATTTGAAAATAATTGAAATGAAGCAAAAGAATTCTAAATTAATAGATGAGAAATTCAAAACAGACAAGAGTGGTATTTTGCAAAAGCCGACTACTGGTCTGGAGTCATTTCCACAGTACTCTGAATATCAATCATTTCCTGGAGATGATAAAAAATAAATAGAAAATATGTAATATAGAACAATCTGCAAATCAATTGTGATGTAAATAATTTAATAAGAAATTGTTTATTGTAGTAATTGTATAATATAATTAAATACAACATTGTAATTGCGTTTTACTGACTCTTGCACAATGATACATCTTTCATGGAATTGTTAATATAATAAGTATAAGAAATAATTATTACTTTTAAATTTAGGAATAGTAAATTATATAAAAACAACTTATCAGCAATTCGTATTCCTCAATGTTTTTTTAGCACTTTTGCAATGATCATCTCAACTTCTAGAGCATTACTATTTAATATTTTTATTGATAATGTATCTAAAGTTATTAATAATCCCAGCTTAATGTTTGCAGATGATTTGGAGTTAGAATTAAAGATTTCTCAGTGAAGCAGTCTCAACTTGACTCATTTCAACTGGATCTAAACATTTCAAATTGTTAAATTTCTTACACTTGCTTGAAAATCGTGACAAAATATTTGATAAGAGAATTAGATTGCCCTTAGTATGACCTTTACTGACCAAACTTTGTGCTAATGCACATAAATCTTTAGATATAAAAGCAGCCTCTTGACATTATCGTGTACAGGTAGTCTCCGTGTAACACAGTACTTCTATAAAATCATTTAAGGATTTAGAATATACCCTTTATAATATAACATGAATCAATAATTAAGCTAATAAAAGCAAACTTTATATAATAAAACTAGTAATTATGAAGTAAATATTTCATTTGAATTTTTTTTAATGCATATATTCTATAAGGAAAAAGTTCTAGACATATCCTAATAGTTAGTCATATTTCTTAAAGAAAGATCATTTAAATGAAATGAGCACATAATTAAAAAGAGAGAAAAAGAATTTAACAACGCTAGATAATAATAGAACATAATATATTCATGATTTCACTAAAACAGTTCGTTACCTTCACAGTTCATTGTATTATATTTAATTTAGTGCTAACAATCACTTTAGATTGTGTATCGGTACAAACGTATATTCACGTTCTTCTGAATATATAAATAAATAAAAATAACTCACCACATTTTATATCTAAACAACAAATTTAGAATCGCCATGACATTTGACACATTTGACAGTTGATCTGTCATCAGGCAGCACTGGCAACGTTCAAATTAGAAAAATTCGATCTTCGATTATCTCTCACGTTTTTCATGTTTCGTGTCAATAATTTTGTTTATTACATCATCTAAATTTTTTTCAAAATTTAAAAATTTGTACGTAAAGAAGCGACTGTGCAAAGTAATTTAGTTTAATTGTTTCTGTGCACTTAACTCAATCTAACCTAAAAATGGCTATTGCGATGAAGACTATAAGTATCAGGAGTCTCTTAAAGTTAGCTCGGTCGGCTTTCCCAACATATAATGAGAAATTCCAACCACTTTTGATTACACAAATGCGAACTGCCGCTACAAAGGAGGCCCAGCCAGAAGAAACTGTAGATCCATTACAAGTCATTGCAGAAAAAATCTTGGGCAAAGGAGAACTGACAGATAATGAAAGAAAACTAGTCGTAGAAATTGATAGATTGACTAAAGAGGTTGGCACTTTATCAGAAGACAAATTAGAATTGGATGACAAATATAAAAGGTCACTTGCCGATAGGGAAAACGTCAGGCAACGTTTAACAAAACAAATCGAGGAGGCAAAGCAATTTGGTATCCAAGGTTTCTGTAAAGACTTGATTGAAGTAGCCGATGTGCTAGATACAGCCACCAAGGCTGTGCCAATTGATGAAGTGAATGAAAAGAACCCACATTTGAAAAATCTTTATGAAGGTCTCACTATGACTAATGCTTCTTTAAAACAAATGTTTGGTCGCCATAAACTTGAGCCTGTGGATCCCTTAAATCTAAAGTTTGATCCAAATTTCCATGAAGCTCTTACACAACAAGAAGTCAAAGACAAAGAAGCCGGTATGGTTGTATCAGTTATCAAAATTGGTTATAAACTGCATGAACGTTGTTTACGACCGGCTTTAGTTTGTGTATCAAAAAGTCCTTGAATTTCCAAATATTATGTAAGTGCAGAACACACAACAAAATTGTAAAATAATTTTATATTTAACATTATAAACAATATCACTTAGTAATACATTCTGTTATTAGTTACTGAAAGTGTTTTCTTAAATTTAAATAAAAAAGAACTTAATATAATTCTTATAGATGAGTTATGTTATCTTCAGTTCTATTACCATTTGATATGGTAATGTTTTGTAGTGCAATTGAACCATTAAGTGGCTTTTCTGCATTGATTTCAGGTTTTGATTCTGATTTACATAAGTTCACAAAAACCTAAAAATAAAATCAATTAAATACGTATTTTGTTAAACCTTATATAACATAGTTGTAAATTAACTTCAAAATATTTATAATAATTATATGAAAATTTAGCATTAATTGAATTCTTGTTTCGAAATTGAAGTTTTTATGTAGATTCTAACATTATAAAGCCTTACAGCAACTCGTTTACTTATAAATCACTCATGAATATTGATATGATTATAATATTAATTCAATGATTTATACATATTAAAATGTTCAAAATGCCATTTTATGATTGAATTAGTAAATTTTTAACCATGATCAGTTTTTACTTACATTATCTAAAGAAGGTAGTGCTATCGTGTAATCTATATCATACTTTTCAGATATCTCTGCCATGATATAGAATAACTCACTTATACTTTTAACATTTGGAACCAAATAATGCACTGTATGATAGTTATTTCCTAAGAATTGTGCTTGTGATATTGATGTAGAAAATGCTGTCTTGATATCACTTATTTTGCTCAAATCATTTATATGAATGGATATCACATTGCCTGAGAAAAATCTAAAACAAGAGCAGCTATACTAAACATTTTATAAAATAATAATGTAATATTATCTGCTGCTCATGATAATCAATTGACCTTCCTCATCCAATTATTATAAAATTGTTAAACCGTTTTACCTAGTTTTTAATTCATGTGGATTTCCAATTGCTATTAATTTTCCAGCAACCATAATTGCCACTCTGCTGCATATTGCTTCACAGTCTGATATGCTATGGGATGTAACCAACACACTCCGACCAGTTTTAACTAGACTCTTTAATTTGACTAATAATTGAGTCCGAGAATTAGGATCCATTCCACTAGAAAAAAGAATATAAGTAATTAAAATTTAAAGACAAGGCAGAATGTGTTTTATTGACTTTACCTTGTTGGTTCATCCATTATTATTATTTTCGAATTTCCCACAACAGAAATTGCTGCATTTAATTTTCTTTTATTTCCACCACTTAAAGACTTGATTTGCACATTTTGGTACTCAGTAAGACCGAATTTTTTTAATGTATTTTTACTGATCTGTAATGGAAAATGGTATTTTAGTTCTCAATAACTAATAACCTCTTCAGCATCATCTGGTTTTTAAAAAATGATTAATAAATATTATACCAATTCCTCATCTTGTATCCTTCTCAGCCTTGCATAAAATATAATGTGCTCTTTTGGAGTCATGAGAGGATCTAATGCATCATTTTGAGGACAATAACTTATTACTCCACTGTTGTGTTTTTCATAAGTTTCCAAAACTCCTTGAGATGGTCGTAGTTCTCCAATGAGCATTTTGAACATTGTAGATTTACCAGCACCATTGATACCAAGAAGACCGAAGCACTGAAATTATAGATTCCAATTTTTGTAGCATACATTGTTTGGTATCACGATTAACCGTAATAATAAACAGTTACACAAAACATACATGAAACTTCTTGCATCAATTTCAAAAACAAATCATTCTAGAATTTTAAAATCCAAATACCTGTCCAAGAGGTACCCCAAAACTAACACCACGAACAGCCTCAACTTGAGAACTGCAAGGCAATCCGTAGTTCTTATAAATATCTTTAATAGCAACTGCTTCACTTAAAGGCCCTGTCCTTTCACAAACACGTACTTTTTCCTTTTGGACATTAATATCATGTTCTTCTTCGTACGATCTATATAAGAAAAACACATTATTTGAAATAAAAAATGATATTCTATTGTTTCTAAATGATAGTCTATTTATTACCTGTTGGTGTTCAATCTTCTAGGAAGCCAGTGATACTCTAAAAGAATATTCACAATAAATAGCACAGTACCTACAATTATTAACATTGAGTAATGATTTCCCATTAATTGCCAAGATAGTGGAGATATGTACGTATCAATTGAAAATCGTTGAAGCAGGATAGCCTAAAAATTAATATTATTAAAAATGAATTTGATAGTTTAATAATTATTACTATTATGTTATAAATACCTGTACATAATTCTTCGATATTTCAATCAGCCCATCAGCCATTGCAAATTGTGGAATAATAAGAAAAATTGAATGCAGGATTTCTTTTGCATCAGCAACAGCCTATATTAGAGGGTTATTTATTTGCTATACTAGATTATTCATTTATTAACACACACTATATATATATATATATATATATAAATATAATTAACTATTTATTACCTGTGTTTTTCCCAAAACTTCCATTAACAATATTGTGGAAATAGTTATCATTCCAATAAATACATTACAGCAAAACAGTATCATGTTAGCTAAACTATTAATTTGAAATAGTTTTTCCAGTATGTACATAAGTGGAAGACAAGCATAACTAGAAAATAGAATTAATATAATTTTTAAAATGTTTAAACTAAATACTTTGTTTTACTAAACATTAAACTTATGAAGAAAATTGTTCAAAAATTATATAATGCTTAAAAGCGGCTACTTATATGTTAAAACAACTACAGTTCAAAAATATAAAGCGTTTTTTTCCGTTAAAAATCTGAAGAATTAAAATTCTAGAATAATATATCTATTTTTATAAATTTCTAGTGCCATTATATCGATGGTTTCATTATTATGATCATTAAAAACGGTAATGTTTTAATTTAAAAATAAAAATTATAAACAACTTTTGTAACTCACCAGTATAAAAATAGTATCAAAGTAATACCAGATAAATTTTCTTTGGCTGTGAATACCGGGATATTAAAAATGAGAAATATTGCAACAGCAATTGCTATAACTCCTAAACAAACCTAGAATAATAAATTAATTAGCATATAATTATTTAATATATTAATATTTAAAATAAAATTAATTATTATAAAACTAATGGTAATATCTATGATAAAATATGATTTTTAGATCAATACCCATTTTAAAAAATCCTGTTCTCACAGTAACGATCTTTGTTATTAATTTAGTTTTAGTTAATTACCAGTAAGTCCCAAATAAAAGCTGTAAACCAATATAATACTGGACTGACGCCACTTAGTAATTGTAAACGTTTTTCATGTGATGTTCTTTCTTGAACTAAATAAGAAACTGCTGAAGCGGTCACCAAACTGAATCCAACCAGAATAACAAGTGATATACCTGCATCGGCTACATGATGTAATCTAATAAGAATTCAAAAATATTATTAACAATATATTTATTTTCTTTGCTTTAACAAGGTTGACGGCTATAACTAAGACTTAATTAAAACTATGATAAAAATTGCGACCACTAAGCTGAATCCAATAAGAATCACAAGGGATATTCCTGCATCGGCTACATGATTCAGTCCAATTAGAACTTAGAAATATTATGTTTTATTCATCTTCTTTTCTTTATCAAGAGTAAAGACTGACTAATTGTAAGACTTTATTAGAAATTGCGGTCATTAAACTGAATCCAACAAGAATCACAAGATATTCCTGCATCGGCTACGTGATGCAATCTAATAAGAAATTCATTAGAAAAATTATAAAGTAAATTAATATATTACTATTATTTTTTTTATTTCAACAAGAGTAAAGACTAGAATTTCCTTGCAAAATATATACTACTTAAGTTCAGAAAATTATTAAATGGAGTGAATAATCAATACAAAATATACATAAAATAAGCATATATTACATATAATTTTATATTGTTATTGATGAAATATATTTTTTTTTTTAAATGTAAATTCATTCCATCGTCCCTGCAGCTTTGCCTGGTACACCACTTAATAACAATTTATCTTTAAGTTCTTCTAAGTCCATTTCTTTTGTTTCGCACAATTCTTCCAAAAATTTTTGAAATTCATTTAAAGTCAATTGCTTTTTTTTGAATTTAAAGAACTGTACTCCTGTATCGGTCGTTGTCAATTTAGTTTTTTCGAAAAGCTTTGCTTGGCGAAACCATTTGTCAATTTGCCTTAAAGTTATAGATTTTCCATCAACATCTGGTCGTATATTTTGAAATTTTGAATACAGGACAAACAATTGCTCCATCGTATGTGGTGGCTTCTTCTGTTCTTGATTTCTAGAATCCATATTTAACTTGCCGCAATAATAAAAGTTATTTATATACTATTTAGTTTAACAACAAGCTATCTTCTCTAACATAATTGCAATTTCCGTAGATTATTTTGCAGTAGGGTTGGACATCCCAATGAACTCAAAAATTCGTAAATTTTGGACATAATATTAAATATTTGATTTCTCATCTTATTTGATGTGCATTTTTTTGACATATTTTAAATTAGTCATATTTGACAAAACGTCGACAGAACAAATTTTGGTTCACATATACACGCACGGTCATACATATGCACATACTTTACCAATTTTAGTGTCAAACGACTCAGAATTTTGTTAAAGCGCCGAGACAACAAAATTAGCAAATCGGCTTTTCTGGCGGAGACATTTTCTCTCAAGAAGTTAACAAATATGAAATAGTAAAAACAAATTCACTTACAAAGTAGATTTCCCCAACTGCTCCTTAGACAATCTAAGCGGATGAGAAAATGTGTTTATTCTAGTAGCGTTCCAATCTTTATGATTTCTGTTAAACAAATTCAGCAAAACGTTGTTCAAAGTATTTAGTAACCCTGGCATCGAATGGTATCCTTTGTTATTATACCAGACAACTGGTAATGCATTCGATTCTGGATCAGTTTCAACAGACCAACCACCATATCTAAATTGTTTTTGGATAGAATATCCCAGGTTATTTAAGTGCATATAAAAATATTTTTATTAATATATACATTTTTACCTTTTTTCAATAAACAATTGGTTCGTATCAACAATCCATCGGACTGTTTGTTCTGCACTTGGAATTTTTATAATATTTTCGTAATTATTTGATTCAAAACCAGAAATTTCCACAGGAGGATAGCATACATGTTTACCTTCGTTGCATTCGCATTCTGATGTTATCTAAATTTAAAGAAAAATATTATGCACAATCACTAATTTATAAACATAAGTAATAGAATACTTTGTGCATTACGTACATTTTGGTATCCGACACTTTTCCTGGTAAACTGAGATCTTGCAAACAAATCCTCTTCAAGTTTTTTTGCAAAACCATTAATTTTATTGCTCGTACTAAAAATTGAAATAAATTTTATTGTATTATATCATCAATATTTATGTATTTTCAAAATAACTAGGCATTTTGAAAATAATTGATTTTTTATTTATTCTAAACAACAAAACTTGTTTTGCCTAAAATATTGTCAATAATTTACCAACCTTATAAATTGCAATCCTGGATACAAATCCCCTGATAGCTTCAAAGGATGCTCCAACTCCAAAGGCGGTTTAATAAGAGAGAATCCCATGGCGACAGCCTGTACAAGAGCAGGAAGTACCAGGACAGCCAGCAATGTTCTGCGATTCCTGGTCACGTTAAAAGCTCGTTTTGTAAGCAGAGCTTTAAAACGAAGGAAAGTTGCCGATAAACCCTCAGGACTCGTGCTGATGTTCAGTAAATGACTTAAGTCGTCTTTGGAGTTCTTAACGCCCCATATCTAAAAATGATAAAACTCATGTACGCAGATATAACAATTGCTTACAACATATTCTTGAAAATTTTATTCGCAGCATGTGTCATAATTCATTGTAACTCTGGAAATAAAAGGGTTCACAAATTGTTGAAGCAGGGAGGAATAAATTGTGGAAAGTCGATTGTCGAAAGAAAGTGAATATAATGAACTATTCATACTAAGTATTTATTATTTATTTATTTACCTCCATTATTTTCGTATAAAGTGTCTGTAGATAAATTTACTTTAGTGTGACCATTAGCAATTCCATTTTCTGTTGGCGCATAACACAAAGCCGATACTACGTCGCTTAATCCACCTCCTTCTAGGTAAAACTTCTCAATTCCCATTGACAAATATTTCTCTTCCAAAGACTTTAAGGCCATGTGAAAGCTGGAAAAAATAATATATATTATATAGTGGATCATAGCTCTGTTTGGACCAGAGACGTGGACTCTAATAAAGGCTGACAAAAACTAACTGGAATGTTTTAAAATGGTTAGCTGGAAACGAATGAATAAGATGAAGTCGACAGACAAGATAATATATAAAGAAGTTCTGAGGTGAGTGGGTAAAGAAACAATTCTATTGAGCACGATCATAAAAAGAAAAGGAAACTGGATAGGACCCATATTGCAGAAAGAGTGCCTATCTTTAGAAAAGTTAATAAACTAATATATTAAAACTTGATTGTATTTATTAGACAATACTTAACGTTTTATTGGTTTACTTTATCTGTACCACAAAATTATCAAAATAAATCCCACAAAATGCCTAAGTTTACATTTACTACGCGTTGGAAACGAGTATTATGAAGTAAGTAACTTGTATTTTTTGTACTGTTATATCGATTGACAAAAATATAATAAATATGAATCTTATATTATTCGTAAGAAATTTTAAGGCTACTGGCTTACATACTTTGTGCTTTCTCCTTTGTTATCACATAAAGGCAACTTGATTTTTACTTGTTGCTGGTCTTCCTCCAATATTTCTGCATTATTTATGGCATCTTTTAAAAGACTAAGTACTTGCATGTATTTTCCCTTACGATTTTCCTCTGCGCTATGTTTTTGGAAAAATCTTACTGTTAGAACATAATAACAGTATTTTCTTTTCAAATCCCTCGGTGTCCCTGACGCTAAAATCTTACCCTGGGGAAAAAATCATATCAACTTTATTTTTTATATAAATACTAATCAAAATGCGCTTTTACAAATCTTTAAAAATCAAGTGATATAAAGATATTTTACCTTGTTCATAATCATAAGTGTATCACTTATAAAATCAGCTTCATCCATGTGATGTGTTGTAAGTAAGACAGTACTTTGGACTTCATTAGATTTTTGGCTGGTCAACTTACCAACTAAATTTAATAAACCGTTGCGCGCCACCGGATCGACTCCACTACTCGGTTCATCGAGAATAATTAATTTCGGGTGCCCTAACAAAATATTTAATATCAAAAAATAATGTTAGTAAAGAAAACAGCTAATTTTTAAAGCGTCTTATAAATAGAACATGTAGGGGTACTCCAAATAGACTAGAATTTTAGATTGCATACACACAAATATATTTTTTTCCCAATATTTATTTCAGTAGATTCAGAATAACTTAAAAGGTCGACACTACTAAATTAGTAAATTTGGTGAAACATTCTCTTTCAGGAACATCAACATTGAAAAATAAGTATGATAACAATAACTGTTTTACAACAACTTTTAAGATTAGATTCCTTTGAAATAGAATTATTATAAGAAAATTATAAATTAAAATAAATATAGAAATAATACCTATAAAGGCGATAGCTACACATAATCTGCGTTTTAATCCATCTGATAAGTTTCTGGCGAAATAGTTTTCAAATGGTCCAAGATCCAGTGCAGAAAGCATGCTGAAATGGATAATTCAGACTAATTATTTGAATCTCTGTTTAACTGAAAGTTTAGTAAAAAAATAAAAAATATGCATACTTATCAATCATATCCTTTTCCACCTCAGCGTTTCCCATTTTCAACTTGGAATACAATTCAAGATGTTCCATCGGTGTTAAAACATCAAATAGGACGTTATTTTGTGGACAAACTCCTATATTTTTTCCACCTTTTCCAATATTTAATTTACCACTGGTTTTCGAAATAGTTCCCGTTAATATTTTTCTAGAAAAAAATATTATTAAAAAAATTACCTAATCTGGTAAACTCAATTAAAATTCAATAAAAATTATTAATCTTGGTGTAATTTTAATAGCTTTTCCTTGACCAGTTTTTTTTTTATTAAATTTTATTATATTTTTGATAAAATCATATGATGGTTTGCAATTATATTCAAAAGCAATAATTTTACTTAAAAATATTGAAATGTTGCCCTTACATCAAAGTAGTTTTTCCAGCTCCATTTTCTCCCAAGAGCGCCGTAATTTTTCCAGCTGGCAAATCAATAGTGATGTCAGAAAGAGCTACTTTTTCATCAGATTTTCCTTTATTATAAACTTTACTAATATTAGTCAATTTCACACCAGATTTATTGGCGTCTGCAGACGCACTATCACAGTTTGAGGCAGGTTTGTCTATAAATATAAAATATTGAGTAAAAATATCTTACAGATATAAATAATTAAGTTTTTACTTGGTTTGAAAGCTCCAATAACTAATCCAATGGTACAGTACAAAAGAGCATCAAAAATTAACATTGCGGCCGTTGCCAACAATGATGCTCCATTTGGAATAATTGGCTCCCAAATTGAGTTCCAAGTCAGACCAGTTCCTTGGGCTTCAAGTCTTGTAATCAACAAACAACCGTAACTAAAACTTGTCGACATGCTCAATTGCTAAAAAGGCAAAAATTAGGTGATAAAATAAGCTGGTACTCTTGGACACATGAAATACACAATGTCTAATAATATGTGGAAGAATAAACTAATTACAATCAAAACAAAATAATAAACTTACTAAGAACATCTGCATTTTATTCGAAAGTACAGCATCCATAGCGATCACTATTATATACGGCATAAATGTTAAGAAATTAAACATGATACTCCCAAGTGCTGCTAAACTTGCTACCTTGCAAAATGATTGTATCATATAACTAGAAAAGTAAAAAAATATTGCCGATTAATATTAAATATTTGATAAATAAACTAATATACATTTTACCTAAAAAAAAACTCTTACCAAAACATGACGGTCGCAAATCCATAGCACATGAAATAAATAAAAAGCAAAATCCAATTTGCATTAGGAAGAATATTGCATATTTTGAGTATTAATACTATTATTCCTATAACTATTGTCATTTCTATGGCAGTTGTTATAAACCAGGATAAAGTATTTGCCCATACTTTTAAGCCCATGGTTCTCATTAACTATAAATAACATATGAAATATTAAATTGAATAACGAGATGAATAAAAACTCGCTTTATTGCATAATTTAATTTATGGTTGATTCATATTTGATGTGTGTTTAATAATTATAATTAGTTGATTATTATTATTCAAGGATATTATAATATTTTTTCGTATTAAAAACCCAGTTAAAATTATTATACCTCAACATTTCCAGATTCTCTTTCCCATACAGCATATCGAACAGATGATGATACCGACATTATAAACGCAAAGAAAAAGCAAACTTGAAGTCCTTGCGAAATATATAAACCATTTTGAAATCTGTAAATAAAATAATCAAAACAATTTTGTCCACCATCAATGCTTCTAATAAAATTCATTTCCTATTTACGGGTCATTTCTCCAACAAGGATATGGCATTTCTTGCATATAAGTGCCACCCAATTGGTTATTCTCATCTTCTGCATCTTCAGAACTTTTTGTAGAACTTTCTTCATCAACAGTTTCAGATTTTGATGTGAAATATTTTATAATTGCTTTGTCAATTGAATCCTGTAACTGTATGAAACCTCTGTAATATCTTTGGTATTCAAACTCGGATTCGGGTCCTGGAAACCAAAATCTATAAAAAAAGTAATATATTATTTTAAAATATTGAAGTATATTTTTCAATGGACTTGTTGCTACTTACTGACTTCTAAGTCTGCTTGTTGTGGGTACGTTGTCTATATCCATTCGTATTTTGTAACTAATTTCTTCTAAAGGCTTGGATGTGTCGTTTAAATTCAAAAATACCACACCTGTTGGAAAAAATACTTGTTAAATGACAAAGCTAATAACAAGCAAAGTTTATATAATTTATCAAATATTTCAAAGGCTTAGTTATGTTTGCTTTATCATAAAATATTAATAAATCATTAAATGTTTTTCTAAATATTAAAAATTTGTAATATTTTCTTTCTAATACCAGCAAGAAATTCATTATCAGCCATGTGCTTGACTGCTCGATTTTCCAATTCATCCTCGTCATCAACTCCTTCATATCTATTAACGCTAACACAGTCCAAAACATTTGTCATCACTCCCAAAATTCTGCCTAATTCCTAAATATAGACAATATACAGACTTAGGCAACGAATATTTATAACTAAACTAATTTTGGTAAACATATATTTAGGAACTATACAGCAATGCAGAACCAATTGAATCAAAACGTATGTCTTTCATAAATTTTCAATTTTTAATGAAATGTTGCAAATATCACTTGAACCAAAAAATATTACTTTGAAAACTTTTAGATCAAGTTTATAAATCAAGTTTTAGATTGAAGGTAAACCAATGAAAATTAATCAAAGAAATCAATTTTTTTAATTTAAAATCATGTCAATTCTCTTCATTATATGGAAAAAAAATCCTTACCTTTCCATCCCCTTGAACGAAAGAAACAACATCATTGAATGATATTCCATTGGTAGAATTTCCAAAAATTTTGGCAACTACTGGAATTTCCATAATCGACTCTATATTTGAAGCAGATGATGCAAATTTACTTAAAGTGGTCAAACCATCATATATAGAAGTCACTAATACCTTAACATTATTTAATTCAACAAAAGTATTATTTGCCTAAAAAATAGATAAAGTAAATTTTATATTTGAGATTCATAAATATCAAGAATTTACAAATATAAACTTACGTTTGCAATAAGATTTTTAGTAAATTCATTATTAGGTGTGTACAAAATTTTTCCTCGAATCAAAGGTTTCATGTAAGACCAAATTAATTTTCCATTTGGTATAGAAGTTATATTACGAAACAGAGATCTGCAACTTGCTACAAGATATAGTATAATAAATCATTTTTATAAGTTGTTTAATATTAGTTTATATAGTTTAATTTTATATTTATTACCTGGAAGTTGCTTAATTTCTTTTTGAGAATCAGTCTTATCCTTCAACTTTGAGATTATTTCTCCAATTTTATCTTGTTCTGCAATTACGGAATGACCACACAGCATCTTACTTGACCCGTGAAGCCAATTTTCTGTAAATTTATTTTGTCTAAACATAAATAAAAAGTATGATATTGATTGTTGTTACTACCTGTATCGATAGATTTTGTGGCAGACTTTTGAGGCTTGGAAATAACATTTTTCATGTCATCGAAGATATCACTGAATCTAGGAATAATTTCGATCAAAGTTGGCAGTTTAGCTGCTATTGTTGTTATATCTTCAAGTTCTATGCCTACTTGTTTTATAATGCCGCTGAAATTGGACTCAAATACCTGCAGGAAAACATACGTAAAAATTATATACATTTTGGGCTGTTAAGAATAAGTAAATGCACACAATTCCTTATAAGAGTATTACAAATTGTGCTTACCAATCTAATAATTTTCCCAACATCAGCACTGGCTGCCAATTTCTTCGTCAGCTCAGTCAGAGTTTCCTCCTCGAGCGAGCAGAGTACCTGCGATATACTCGAATAAGCGTCTCGTGTGGGAAGACGAATGTACCGTTCAATTTTCTCCGGATCGCAAACCAATTGTGTAACATTTGTAACTCCTAACAGCTCGGTGATCTGTAATTTACGATGTCTGACATTTGAAAATCACAGATAATGATTATGTAAAGGGAATAATATAATAGATACATATTTATGTTAAAGGTAAAGGCTGGGGATCGATTAGGTTTCGTGATTGGAGGCATATTTAATTTATGGCAATGTAGAGCTGGAATGTTTTGAAATGTGGTGCTGGAGACGAATGGACAAGATAAAGTGAATAGACAAGATAACAAATAAAGCAGTCCTCTAAATATTGGGCGAAGAAAGGACTCTATTGAGCACGATCCTGAACAGAAAAGAAAACTGGATCGGATCTATTCTGTAAAAAGAGTGCATCCTACACGACGTAGTCGCAGGTAAAATGACTGAAGAATAAAAAGGGAAGAAGGAGAATGCAGGATTCAAAAGTAAAATAGGAGATCAGAGGAAAAAATTGGAAAGAAGTAGAATGCAGAAATCAAAGGTAAAATAGGAGGACTGAAAAAGAGAATGGGAAGAAGAAGAATGCAGAACTTTTGAAACAAATAATACGTTTTAAAATATGGACCTGCTTCAGCCTTATCTAAAAACTCACTCTTTAGAGTGATTCCTATATTTTATTTATCATAATATTATCTTTAATTTTTATTATATTATATTATCTTAATTGATATTTACAACAATAATAAAAAAATACAAATATTGCTTTGATAAAAATTAAATTACTTGAAAAAAATGAATAATTAACAATGTTATTACTGCTATATGAAACAATCGTATAACAAAATAATTTACTATTAAATATTCAAAAATATTGAATTTTCTTCAAAATTATTGCAATTATATAATTGAAGTAAATGTCGTTACGTTTGGGTAAGTTCTAAACGTGATTATCTATTATACTACTATATTTCTTTATTGTAAATTTATGCAGTTAGATATATCAAAATTCAATATTAAAATGCTAATGCGATTTGATATATTTAAATGCTTAGTTATTTTAAGCTCTAGATAATTATACCTATTACGTCTTTGTATAGTTGTTTTTTAATTATTTAGCATATAATTTGCATGGTAGTTACCTAATCATATATTGTTATTGCTTAGTTAAACCTTCATTTATAGTGATTTATTTTAGCATTATTTTTAACTACCTAATTTTACTGTTATCGGCAAAACACTGAATAGTAATATTTTTCACTCAAAAATAGACTTCAAATCTGCCTAGTATAAACTATTGAACTTAAGTCCAAAATTGTTGATTTTTATCTATTATTATTATAAAAAAAAAATGAACTTACATGATCAGTTTTAATAGAGCCATTGAACGCCAAATTAACTAGATCCTCATTGAAATCAGTAAAATCTGCTACAATCGATTTTTTTACTTCTTCGGGATTTATAAATATTTCTTTTATTGGTATACCATTGACTGAAAGAATAAATATATAAAAATAAATATAAACATATTATATAGTAGTCTAAAACATTTATATTCAAAGACGATATATATTGATTGATCCACTCTTTGCCTAATATAGTGAATTAATCCATTCTTTATTTGTTTGACTCATTTATTTTATTATTGCTACAATCAGTGATTCATCAACTCATTCATTGTTTTATTTATTTATTTACTAAATTATTACACAAATCACAAATGAACTGATTGATAAATTCATTCATACATTAATTAATTCACTCATTAATTGATTCATTCATCAGATCTACTCACTAATTAATCATATGAGGTATACTTGAAAAATAGCTAAAGTATAAAGAAATGTATTTGAAAATTAAATATTTTAAATGAAGATTGATTTATCCTCTTACTCAAAATTTCTCTCAGGACAGGATCTTTTAATGCAAGTGAAAATGCATTCAACATTTGGGCTGCATTTGGAAGAACTGCTACTGATTCGATAATCGTAGAATTTGTAATAATTGGCTGCAATTTTCTCAATAAAGGGGTTAATCTGTAACAAGAAAAAAAGTTTTATATACATAATAATTTATAATTGAAGCAATTACGATAGTTTGAATTTCTAAGTCAAGCAATAAATATTTTTTTAATATAATATTCACAAGATAGTTTATACTAACGTAGCAGTTTTATAGGAAGGTATCCTTTCATATTTTCGTATAGGGTCACAATTGTCATTCACCGAACATATGTAAGATTGCATAAATGGTAAAAGACCAATACTTGGCAAAGCTCGAGCTTTGAATTGACCTGAAACAAAAAATAATAAAAATTAATAAACATATATATTTAGATATACATTTTATAACGTCTTGAATGTAAGATAATAATAACAAAAATTTCAATCATAAACGATTGTCTTTTAATTTAATTGAGTAGAAATATTTTGATCCCCAGAAACTTTTCATTTAGCAATACATTGAGGCAATCGATCAGCCATTCTACTGAAAATTCCAAATCAAATTGCAAAATCCTAGTAATACTAGGTTGTGATACTCTTGAAGCAGAGTTGTATTAGACTCTGCTGTATTATCATCATTCACTGGAAAGATTTTTTTCATTTTCTTATAAATAGTCAATCAGAACATTGACCATCATTCCATGGTACCATGATTTGATATTGCGTGGATTTGGGAAGGTTTTCCCAATGATAAATTTTCATTGATTGATTTAAGCTGTTTCAAATCTTTATATAACACTGATCATATACTTTTGATTTTAACATAGCAATGCTAATGATTTGATAAATGGCAATCCAATTACTTTATAGTATAAATAACGGAATGATCAAAGTCATAGTGCAATAAATTACTATTCTGGTTTTTTATCATATATAAAGGAGACTAATAAAAATATAGATGGGATTTGTACTATGATCTTTGCGTGATCTTTTCAATTTGATAGAAAAGTTCTTGATCTATATGTCGTGTCAGGAACTTAAAATAAAGACCAAACGATGCAATTGAATATGTCTCTATGTTAGACATCAATCCTTTCACTTTGATTTATGAGCAACAAATCACGCCAACGAATATAATAACAGAGAGGAATCAGATATATAACAATAATTAAAAAAAAATACTAAAAATATTAAAGCAACCATAACATATTGCAATAATAGCACCTAGATCATTAAATTTCTAACAATTAGTAATTTCTTTAACAACTAAATGTAAAATATGTTGGTGTTTTACGAAGTTTTGTGGATTCTTTGAGTGGAAATACGTTTGAAAGAACAAGTAAAAATATTTATATAATATATTTTTGAATAATAATTCGCCAAATAATACATACTGCTTGATTACCAAAACACCAAAAGCATACTAAATTGAAAGAGAAATTAAAATTATAGATATGCTCACAATTGCATGCTACAACTTATCAAATATCAATTGTTGTTATTACTATAGTGTACTATGGGTGTACTATAAATATTAAAATTTTAATATTTCACAAATAAATAAATTAAACATTCCTTGATTGCATTCACGTCTTGTGAAGGAAGAAATTATTACTGGTGCGATGCACTTTGAATACTGAAATTAACAAATGCATTTTGTCCAATGAATTGTGTCACGCTCACGTTTTCTCCACATTTGCATCAGAACGAACATTGATAGATTTTCTTGAAGGAAAATTGACTTTGAATGGAAAATTTCGATTTAATTTATAGCTACTAGAATCAGTAATGCTTATTATATATCCAAATGAATTTGAAGAAAGTAATAACGGTATGAAATTGACAATGCACAAAAAAGAAAAAACTTCTTTATAGTTAATATTCATAAAAATAAATATATTAATTTTTATAATTATAAAGTAGGTTGTTGCCCTTACATTAAAATTCGTCAAGAAATAAGCTTTACAATTGTTTCAACAAACAATTTTCAATTCAACAAACATGAAGAATGAATTTACAAAGATTATTTTAATGTGGTAGATCGTTTGTCTAATTAACGGCCCATTGAAAAAACCTTTTCGAACACCAAGTGCATTGACGTTATTGGCAATGTTAGAGTCATTTCTAATAAATAAGAATGTAGTTATAAAAATCAGTGTAATGTGGTAAAACTTATAGTATGACAAAGCTTATAAAATTTAAAAAAAATGGACCAAGTTAAATAAAAATGATGTTGCAAAGATTGGTGCAATATGGTAAATCGTTCATATAATTAAAAAGTAATAATTACCCAATGATATATAACCTTATCGAGTCCATTGACATTATTAACATTTATCAACCTAAAAAAATTGTGTAAAAATTACCAGAGTTTAAGAAAAACCAGCAATGGGTAATTTGGTTATATAGTATGAATTCACAAATCTTAAATTATGTTGCAAATTGCAGTAGAAACAACCATGTACACATAAATTAAACAATATGCAATGAATAATATATTTTGGGTGTACATTAAATAAATAAAATATATAATTTTACTTACATGTTGGCACCCTGTAGATGTTGACTGATTGCCTAATTATGAAAAGAGTGATGAAGACGGCGATAGGCCATAAAAACAGCAACGAAAGCGTCCCCTGAAAAATATTATGGAAATAATGAGAATCGTAAATTAAGACATTTTGAAAAATTATTTTATGAGCGTGATGAATTTTCAGGACTCACAAAACACGTTAATAAATTAATACCGATGATATATCACAAATTTAATCAACAGATTTTATATACAAAGGATAGAATATACATTTCATTATGAAGCTGGATGGAAGTGGTATTTGATATTGCAATATAATTTAATCAATAATGCTATTTTGAAAATGTAAAATTAAACGGTATACAGATTGTATAAATTCAAAGAAATCTATATATACTCGCTCTTATATTAATTAAATAGAATCGATTAGAACTTAGAATTGATACATAAGATATGCAGGTGATTAGTTATTTTTGGTAATTATAATAATATAAAATACTAGTATTTTTGAGAATTTACAATTTTCAATATAAAGTTACCATTTGATAATTAATAATTAAAAAGCACTAGAAATACCATTACGCATCATCATAAACATTCTAATTGTTCTAATATTACTTCAGCTAGAATGTAATATAATTTTTCATGGAATAATATATAATACATATAATTTTCATATGGTAATATCAGGATTGGATCATATTTCCACACCTGTGTTTCCAATATGCAATTACGTAGGAAGGTAGGAGCAGTTGTAGTAAATCATTATAATGGCAAAAGATCAAATATTTCTTTAAAAAAAATAATAAAACATAGAACATAGTGTCGGGGAAATTAGTGAAATTGAAAAAAATATATAACAAGAAAACAAAAATTGATAAAATAATTGATAAAAACTATATTGAAATATATAGATAAACTTTGATAAAGTATCAAAAATTTTTTAAACATTTTAATTTATAATTAGAAAAAAATAAAAATTTTGAAGAAAACTGCAAACACTAATGATATTGAAAAGCAGTAAAAATTTACAAAAATATATAAGAATAAATGAATTAAAAAGTAACAGTACAAATAATCGACTACCAATTGTAAGATAGTATTTTTTTATTATTAACGGTTATTATTGATTATCCATAATCAATTGAAAGAAAAGCAAATACAAATAGCAAAGCAAAGTCAAAAAACCATTAGAATAAAATGGAATATTTATAAAAAATATTATCCATGAGTTTTGTATACTTTTTACTAAATCATTACCAGCTCTCCTATCTAAGCAATTACACATTGTACGACGTTCTGATTTATATGTCAAAACAATCGCAACAATTCCAATACAAGTACGTTGATCTCATTTATTCAAAATTATCTCATTGTGTATCTATGCATAGAAAAACGATCTATATAAAAATATGAAGGTAACATGATAGATGTATACAAGAGTTTCATATAAAAAATGATTTATGTTTTAATTACTAATATAAAAACAATGTCGAAACCCATGTCGATAAACCGGAGGTCGCACCTAATCATCCTTGCAATATTGATATTGAAATATTTATTAATTATTAGTTATATTAATTAAACAGGACTGAATGCATTCAATAATAATCAATGTAGCATTTAATTTAATTACAAAATAGATGAACTCAGGTCATAACACTATGAAATTGAAAGATTATGCTGAAATATATTATGATTATAATTCAATCAGCAAATTACAGCAAATAAAAATGCCTGATTAAAATTTAATTAATGCTTAAATTAATTTAATATTTTTTTGTATTGGTTAAAATGCCAATTTAAGTGTATAAAATATTAATAATAAATTGTATTAAATTTTATTAATAATATTTGTAACAATTACCAAGAAGCATTTGTTTGAAGAAGAAATGATACAACCGCAGCGAAGCCAAAGACAATCTAAGCAAAATTTTGAAAAATAATATGTGAATAATTTACCAAAAAGAAAGAGACGTGAAAATATAAAGGTCCAACTAACATAGACCTGACTTTGGGTAAAACTAAAATAATTTGGCAATTTATATTTGCGTGGCAAACTGTGCAACCTTTACTTCTAGGTCACAAGGCGACCTGAAAGCATAGGTCAAATGTACAATTTCCTCAAAGAACTCTCCTCAGTTGTGAGATATACCTTATATATATACACACACACACACATATATATATATATATATATATATATAAAATCCTAAATAGTATATACATATCCACACCCAAAATGTTATTGCCAGAAAGCCACCTAGAAAAAAGTTGGTATATATGTATACATATATACACTCAAAATGCACATAAGTTTTTTACATATAAATGATTCATATTATTTAATACATGAATTAATTAATTACTCATTGTTTATCCCACCATATAAGAAACTATACAAAACCATTAGAAAATACCCAAAATTTGTGCACCATTATTTATTGGCAAAAACTTCAGTCTCTGCATATTTTTTTTAACTTCCACGTATTCGACCATAAAAATTATGTTGTGGTTAATACGATAAAAACCCGCATAGTTGAGAGATTCATATAAATATTGATATATTTATTCAAAAAGTGATGGAATTGTTTTAATAACTTGCTCGTGACGCGAATTGACTACGTAAATGCAATAACAATTAATTCGTTGATTGGAATCCGAGATCACAACAAATATTTCCTGTTCGATATTGGATTATTGATTTTTAAAATTAATAAATTAAATTAAATTGCTAATATATATACATATAGAAATACATACAGTAATTTCAGATGTAAAATAATGATCCTCACAATATGTAGATGTATCTATGTTATAATTATTTCATAGAAATTAAAAAAATTATAGTTCATTCACATCCTAAGAATTATAGGCTGCATATTGCTTTCAATGTGCAGACATCAATTCAAACAATTTTGCTCGGAGCTCTAATTTTTTTTGGACATAAATAATCATCTCAGACCATCCCAGCATGCGATCATGGTATGTATAAAGAAATGCCTCGCAGATATTTTACCATCGTATGAAAAAAAAGATAGTTTCCGAACACCAAAAATTCGAATTAGAATGAGTCAGCCGTCCAATAATATTCCAAGTGGCTCCCTTCTTTCGACACACAGGTGTGCGCTTTAAAATTCAAGGTCCCGCGGTCAAACCGGCCAAAGTGCAGATCGAACCGTCAGTGTGAGAAAAAGCAAACGCGAAAAACGCACATAGAGGGTACACTGGTACGCATAAAGGATTATTTTTCTACTAATTTGTCCAGTAAACCTCTATATTTAGCAACGTAATATTTTTCATATCTCATTTAATCCGTAAAGATGATTAAGCTTAATGCAATTTCGCGCATGATAGGCTACTTTTTACACTATCTGCTGCACATTAATATTATTCTCTATCCTGCATAAGCTTTCTCATATAAGACATTTCTGGCCTGTACCCTGTGAAATCGTGCAGTTTTACTGTATTTTGTATTTATGTATGAATATAAATAGCGCTGTTTTATTTCAAACCAGGTTTAGTAGAGGTAAATGTAGAAAACGCCAAAGATGTAATTCAATAATCAGCTCCTAGTCTTGCTAATGTGAGCTCAAAGAATTAAGAGGCCCAACTAGTGTAACCGCATAAAAAAGGTGATTTTTAAAATTTATTGTAGTATTGTTTACAAATATTGTAGTAATTTTACACCCATTGTAGTATTTTTACAAAAATTGTAGTAATTTTACACCCATTGTAGTATTGTTTACAAACATTGTAGTAATTTTACACCCATTGTAGTATTTTTACACCCATTGTAGTAAGTTTACACCCATTGTAATATTGTTTACAAACATTGTAGTAATTTTACACCCATTGTAGTAATTTTACACCCATTGTAGTAATTTTACACCCATTGTAGTAATTTTACACCCATTGTAGTATTGTTTACAAACATTGTAGTAATTTTACTCCCATTGTAGTATTTTTGCAAACATTGTAGTAATTTTACACCCATTGTAGTATTTTTACACCCATTGTAGTATTGTTTACAAACATGGTAGTAATTTTACACCCATTGTAGTAATTTTACACCCATTGTAGTATTGTTTACAAACATTGTAGTAATTTTACTCCCATTGTAGTATTTTTGTAAACATTGTAGTAATTTTACACCCATTGTAGTATTTTTACACCCATTGTAGTATTGTTTACAAACATGGTAGTAATTTTACACCCATTGTAGTAATTTTACACCCATTGTAGTATTTTTACACCCATTGTAGTATTGTTTACAAACATGGTAGTAATTTTACACCCATTGTAGTAATTTTACACCCATTGTAGTATTGTTTACAAACATTGTAGTAATTTTACTCCCATTGTAGTATTTTTGTAAACATTGTAGTAATTTTACACCCATTGTAGTATTTTTACACCCATTGTAGTATTGTTTACAAACATGGTAGTAATTTTACACCCATTGTAGTAATTTTACACCCATTGTAGTATTTTTACACCCATTGTAGTATTGTTTACAAACATGATAGTAATTTTACACCCATTGTAGTAATTTTACACCCATTGTAGTATTGTTTACAAACATGGTAGTAATTTTACACCCATTGTAGTAATTTTACACCCATTGTAGTATTGTTTACAAACATTGTAGTAATTTTACTCCCATTGTAGTATTTTTGCAAACATTGTAGTAATTTTACACCCATTGTAGTATTTTTACACCCGTTGTAGTATTGTTTACAAACATTGTAGTAATTTTACACCCATTGTAGTATTTTTATAAACATTGTAGTATTTTTACACCCATTGGACTTATGTACATCAAATTATCAGATATTTTATAGAGATTTTAATACTGTGTACATATTTTGTGTAATTTTTTTGGGTTCAGTACCATGATTTTTAATTTCAGTATGGGAAGTTCTAGCAATTTGAATTAAGGCACGATGCCATGCACCCCACTAGTTAATAAAAATGTTTAAAAGATAAATTTTGTTATAATTCTTCTCCCCCAGAACCTGGTTATATATTTCAGAATTCAGGCGGCACCCTGAATCATATTGGTAGAGTGGCTCGGCACACCACAGTTAAAAGCTTGCCGAC